ATTTTAAAGAGGTCTATCTGTCCTCGAAGTTTTCTGCATAAAATTCGGACCACCCTGTATACAGGGTGTTACGAAATTCGCGGACACGGACTCTGGGATCATGTTGAGCTAGATAAGGTCATAAAATAATGTTTCTATCATTTTTCAATCAGACCGATATTTTTCGAGATAAGGCAGTTTTAAATATTCAAAAATAATAAAAATTTTCAATTTTTAATCATTTGATAAACAATTATGACAAACGAATTGTTCAAAATTTCCACCATCTGCTGCTAAACATGCTTCAGCACATTGTGCTACAGCTCGAACGGAGTTGCGTACCTACCATCTCTGGCGTTATTTGTTGTATTGTTTGAAACATACAGCTCTATAACAATTAATGACAATTCAGAAAGCATTTATATATTTATTGACATCGTTACAGTACAGTAAAAGTACCTGTCAATATAAACTGCAAAATAATAGGGCACAATTATTCAAATCGTGAATATGCTGATGGCTCTCGGAGCTTCAAATAATCGTGCAGGTGAAGCAGTGCGGTTGGCAGAGGCGGTCCTTTTGCTTGGCCACCTCGGTCTCCAGACCTAACGCCCTGTGATTTTTTTTATTTTGGGGCTTCTTAAAAACGTTGGTGTACAGAACACCAGTGGCAAATTTGAATGAATTGCAGAACCGCCTATTTCAATCAATACAGCAAATAACACTAGAGGTGATACGCAACTCTGTTAGAGCAGTAGCACAATGTGCTTAAGTCTGTTTAACAGCAGACGGTGGAAATTTTGAACAATTGTTGTAACTCATTTGTCGTAATTGTTTATCTAATGATTACGTCAGCAACCTATGGCACACTGATGAGTACCAATAAGTCCGAAACCGTTCTGTGTCTGGTGGGTTAAACTGACGAGCGATCCTAGCTGTTGTTCTACTAGGTAACACTTGTTTTCGCCATCTAGGCGACTAATCGTGCAACAAAGTGCCTGGAAACAGGCCGCTTCCTACCATAGTAGCCATCGAACTGATTGGTAGGAAGTCAGCACGACAGATGGAGCCATTGGTGCTTCGCGTTCTCTGTACTTTTGTATTGTGATTTCATGACACTAGAACAGCTGGGTCGGTCGTCGGTTGTCTCACCTATGGCACACTGATGAGGACCAATAAGTCCGAAACCGATCTGTGTCTGGAGGGTTAAACTGACGAGCGATCCTAGCTGTTTTTCTACTAGATATATATATATATATATATACAGGGTGTATCTAAATAACACCAAAAAAATTCAAGGGGCGATTCTCCGATGAAAATTAATAGGGGTCTTTGGTATAAAATTTTTTGAAAAAACCCTCCCCTGAAAAGTTACGCCCNAGGATGGAGTTGGTTGCGCGATAGCAATTGACACAGAGACTCACGAGTGGTCATTGCAGAATAATGCCTCTGTCTTCTTTGCTGAACAATACGCGATTTGGCAAGCTCTACTTTATATATCTATGACACCTTCAAATAAAAAGTATTTAATTGCAACCGATTCTTTAAGTGCGTTAGAATCTCTAAGGGATATATATTCAAACGATCCAGTGACGCAAAAAATCCAAGCACTTAGTAAACATCTTGTCGAAGATAAACACAAAATAACTTTCATTTGGATACCGAGTCATGTTGGTATACCAGGGAATGAACTTGTTGATGCTGGAGCAAGATCTGCTACGCTCCTGGAAAACCCTTATGTAGACATAATCAAGAAGTCAGACTTAAAGAATCACATTGTATCTAAAATTACCTCTAAGACTAAGTACAAAAGTTGCCATTTACCTCGAAAAGATTTGGTCATCCTGCATCGGCTTCGTATAGGACATACAGCTCTCACACATAAATATCTATTGGCGGGTGAGACCCCACCTCAATGTGAACACTGCAACCAATTACTCACTATAAAGCATTTACTGTGTGAATGTCCAGCATTGGAAAACCAAAGAGCTCTTCATAATTTGAAGGCAGACCTTTACGATAACTTGTCAGGTATCACAGAAATAAGGAACACATTAGTTTACTTAAAACAAACCAATTTTTATTCAAAATTGTAAAAATAACAATTATTGCAAATCATGATATCGATACTGCATTTCCATTTTCCCTTTTTTTCTTTTTCCCAAACTCTTATCCAGATCCATAACATCCCAAATCCTTGTCTATGGAGCTAATGACCATGTAGTCGATGCTCCTTTCCCCTCCTGAAAAAAAAAAAAAAAAAAAAAAAAAAAAAAAAAAAAAAAAAAAAAAAAAAAAAAAAAAAAAAAAAAAAAAAAAAAAAAAAAAAAAAAAAAAAAAAAAAAAAAAAAAAAAAAAAAAAAAAAAAAAAAAAAAAAAAAAAAAAAAAAAAAAAAAAAAAAAAAAAAAAAAAAAAAAAAAAAAAAAAAAAAAAAAAAAAAAAAAAAAAAAAAAAAAAAAAAAAAAAAAAAAAAAAAAAAAAAAAAAAAAAAAAAAAAAAAAAAAAAAAAAAAAAAAAAAAAAAAAAAAAAAAAAAAAAAAAAAAAAAAAAAAAAAAAAAAAAAAAAAAAAAAAAAAAAAAAAAAAAAAAAAAAAAAAAAAAAAAAAAAAAAAAAAAAAAAAAAAAAAAAAAAAAAAAAAAAAAAAAAAAAAAAAAAAAAAAAAAAAAAAAAAAAAAAAAAAAAAAAAAAAAAAAAAAAAAAAAAAAAAAAAAAAAAAAAAAAAAAAAAAAAAAAAAAAAAAAAAAAAAAAAAAAAAAAAAAAAAAAAAAAAAAAAAAAAAAAAAAAAAAAAAAAAAAAAAAAAAAAAAAAAAAAAAAAAAAAAAAAAAAAAAAAAAAAAAAAAAAAAAAAAAAAAAAAAAAAAAAAAAAAAAAAAAAAAAAAAAAAAAAAAAAAAAAAAAAAAAAAAAAAAAAAAAAAAAAAAAAAAAAAAAAAAAAAAAAAAAAAAAAAAAAAAAAAAAAAAAAAAAAAAAAAAAAAAAAAAAAAAAAAAAAAAAAAAAAAAAAAAAAAAAAAAAAAAAAAAAAAAAAAAAAAAAAAAAAAAAAAAAAAAAAAAAAAAAAAAAAAAAAAAAAAAAAAAAAAAAAAAAAAAAAAAAAAAAAAAAAAAAAAAAAAAAAAAAAAAAAAAAAAAAAAAAAAAAAAAAAAAAAAAAAAAAAAAAAAAAAAAAAAAAAAAAAAAAAAAAAAAAAAAAAAAAAAAAAAAAAAAAAAAAAAAAAAAAAAAAAAAAAAAAAAAAAAAAAAAAAAAAAAAAAAAAAAAAAAAAAAAAAAAAAAAAAAAAAAAAAAAAAAAAAAAAAAAAAAAAAAAAAAAAAAAAAAAAAAAAAAAAAAAAAAAAAAAAAAAAAAAAAAAAAAAAAAAAAAAAAAAAAAAAAAAAAAAAAAAAAAAAAAAAAAAAAAAAAAAAAAAAAAAAAAAAAAAAAAAAAAAAAAAAAAAAAAAAAAAAAAAAAAAAAAAAAAAAAAAAAAAAAAAAAAAAAAAAAAAAAAAAAAAAAAAAAAAAAAAAAAAAAAAAAAAAAAAAAAAAAAAAAAAAAAAAAAAAAAAAAAAAAAAAAAAAAAAAAAAAAAAAAAAAAAAAAAAAAAAAAAAAAAAAAAAAAAAAAAAAAAAAAAAAAAAAAAAAAAAAAAAAAAAAAAAAAAAAAAAAAAAAAAAAAAAAAAAAAAAAAAAAAAAAAAAAAAAAAAAAAAAAAAAAAAAAAAAAAAAAAAAAAAAAAAAAAAAAAAAAAAAAAAAAAAAAAAAAAAAAAAAAAAAAAAAAAAAAAAAAAAAAAAAAAAAAAAAAAAAAAAAAAAAAAAAAAAAAAAAAAAAAAAAAAAAAAAAAAAAAAAAAAAAAAAAAAAAAAAAAAAAAAAAAAAAAAAAAAAAAAAAAAAAAAAAAAAAAAAAAAAAAAAAAAAAAAAAAAAAAAAAAAAAAAAAAAAAAAAAAAAAAAAAAAAAAAAAAAAAAAAAAAAAAAAAAAAAAAAAAAAAAAAAAAAAAAAAAAAAAAAAAAAAAAAAAAAAAAAAAAAAAAAAAAAAAAAAAAAAAAAAAAAAAAAAAAAAAAAAAAAAAAAAAAAAAAAAAAAAAAAAAAAAAAAAAAAAAAAAAAAAANTAAAACGCAATGTTTTTGAGGAAAATGGCGATTCACGATCACGATTCGATCACATTTTGACATTTTTCTCGAAAATATTTCGTTTTACGAAAAAAAGTATAAAGAGACAAAAAGTTTCTAAATTTAATGGCTTTCTAGTGGACTGATAATTTTTAAGAAATTTAAATATGCGATAAAATTTCGCCTCCAAAGACAAGAGGGCCCACGAAAAATTGTCTTAAGGGGGTTCCCCGCCAAAAAACGTAGCACCATCAGATTCCACATGTCATACAACCCCATTGTGCCAAATTTAGTGATTCTCGTACAACAGGGTTCTGAGATATAAAAAAAAGATTATTCTTAGGGGCGGACTTCAGGGGGCTGTAACTCCGAAAGAGGGGGCCACTTGGCAAAAATAGAAAATACGGGTCCCCTAAATTTGTCTTAAGATTCTGTAACCAAATTTTGTTGCATGAATTTCGGGACACCCTGTATGTACCATTACATTGATAATATAGTTGAATTATTTTGGGTATATATTTGAACTGCAACCTTACTTTTATGCATCATATTTATCAAATTATTTACAGTGCTTTTATGTCATATGTACAGTGCTTTTAAGTTATATTTATAATTATATATCGCAACTGTAAATATTTTCAAAACACTGTTTTATACACTTCTGTTGGGTCTAAAATCGAATACGAATCCAATCGAACACTATCTACTAGATCGATTTAATTTTTAATAATGGTATTTAATACCTCCGCAAAAATTTTAGATAGCAAGCCTTGTTTATTGTGTTATCTTTCAAAGTAATATTTTAACAAAATCTCCTATTTCACTATATGTGAACTTTATATTATTTTTCTTGTAATTAGGTTTTTTCTGTTAGAATAAAAAATGATAAATCCGTTTAGGTCAAGGTCAGGAAATCGTGGCTGAAAAAGCAATGGAAATTTCTGCTGAAAAGGGGCATTGGGTAGTATTGCAAAACATACACTTGGTTAGAAAATGGCTACCAGCATTAGAAAAATATCTAGAACGGTTTGCTGAGGGGTCGCATGCAAACTACAGAGTATTTATGAGTGCGGAACCAGCATCAACGCCAAGTGCTCATATAATTCCTCAGGTATCAACATGTTTCAATACGAGTAAAGTTCATATATTCAAAATGCATATTTTAGGGTATTCTTGAGTCGTCAATAAAAATAACGAATGAACCACCAACGGGGATGCAGGCGAATTTGCACAAAGCCCTTTCGAATTTTAACCAAGAAACCTTGGAGCAGTCCGGAAAGGAAGCCGAATTCAAAGTCATATTGTTTTCCTTGTGTTACTTTCATGCTGTTGTAGCAGAACGTAGGAAGTTTGGACCACAAGGTTGGAACAAAATCTATCCATTCAATGTGGGCGATCTGACCATTAGCGTTTTTGTACTCTTTAACTATCTAGAAGCAAATTCGAAAGTACCATGGGAAGATTTAAGATATTTATTTGGAGAAATCATGTACGGTGGTCATATAACAGATGATTGGGACAGAAGACTTTGCATCACGTACTTGGAAGAATTGCTACAACCAGATTTGGTAAATCTAAAAACGTTATTTATTGTCTGAAAAGTAAAGCCGATTTTCACTATCGGAAGTTTTCTGAGAAGAGTTCTTCATCTTTTTTCTTGTGCATTTTCTATACAGGGTGTATCTAAATAACATCGAAAAAATGTAAGGGGCGATTCTCTGATCAAAATTAATAGGGGTCTAAAATTTTTTGAAAAAACTCCCTGAAAAGTTACGCCCCTCCAAAAATTAAAAAAACCTAGCTTTTTGAAATTTTTTTCAACCCTGAAGTATTTTTATAAGGAGTTTTTTCGATAAAATTTTTTCCTTTTAAAAAATATGTCTAAAAAGCCCCATTTATTTACTACCTTTTTGAGCTCTTCAAGTTTTTTTTCGAAAAGTTAAGGATTTATGAGAAACAAAAATAATTGTATTGCCATGCATTTTTAAAAAGATGAGCTGTTTAACACGAGTGTATTTTAAAAAATGACTAGAAAGGTAGGTAAGCCGAGAGAAGACTTGACCTTTCTCTCGGGCTTGAGAGAAACCGCTCCGCGGTACGTTCTCTGTGGGTTGGTTAATAATAAATAACATTCTCCAAAAAAAAAAAAAAAATGCGACCCGCCCGCTATTCGAATCCCGGACCTTCGGCTTCGCAGTCGTGAGTTTACAAAATCAGCTACGGCTATCTAACGCTGGGAGGGGCCTGCACGGGCTATTTGAAACATTCATTCTCCGCAAATGTAAACAGAAAATTGGAAATGTTGAAATCAAGTTTTATCGCCGAAGTTGCGTCTCTAAAAGATCGGAACAGGTGCTAATAACCTATCTTCTACAAATTTATTGTTTTGAAATTACTGAACATTAGTTTTATTCGTAAAATTCACGTGGCGTCAGCCATCTCAGGGCGAAGACTGCTGACAGTCCGCCAGCTAATACCCTGACTAGCATAGAATTACATCTGCAGCGTTTAAGTGGGCACAGGAAAACCAGGAAAACATTAGAGCTCATACATTTTATTAAAGAACAGTCAACCAAATAGTAGACCTACGATTCTACTAGGTTAAGAAGTTTCGAACTAAGAATAAAAGTAAACAAATGATGAATGGATGTTATAACAGCAAAATAAAAATAAAAATCTGCCGAATGTCGACAAAAACTGTTGAAAATGATTGCCTTCAGCTTCAAGCATCTACTTTTTTTCTCGTAGAATTGCGTATGCGTTCAAATATTCCTGGTGAATTTGGATAGATCAAAGATTTCAGATATTGCCATATGCAAAACTCCAAAGAGTTAAGGTCAAGGGAGCGGGCTGGCCTATATACATAACCTCCATCGATTGGCATACGTCTCATCCAAGTGATGTCTTGCACGTATACTAAAGTGGGCTGGTGCACTGTCGTGCATAAACCATAAATGTTGCCTAATTTGAATGGGAACTTCTTCAAGAATAATAGGTAATTCTTCGAGAAGATGACAATATGAGTCACCATCTGATCGTCGTGTAAGAAAATACTGACCAATTAAGTGATCGTCGATAATTCCGAGCCACACATTTAATGAAAATTGATACTGATGATTTCCTTCAAAAAAACTGTGACACTTGGCCGATCATATTAACAAACCAATGACAAAAAACCGCACGTGGTAAAAAATCTCGAATCGTAAAGACTGCACCCGTTGAAGATGATAAGGATATAAGTGTTGTTCTTTTAAAATTCTAAAAACTACCGAATGGCTTACATTTACGACACGAGCTATTATCGTGGTACTAGTTTCAGAGGATTCTTCAATTAAATTAAGTACGACTCCATCGACAGCTTCAGTTCTAACTTCTCGGTTACGGCCACAGTCGTGACTTCAAATTTTAAGTTAATTAGGGGTTGATTATTGTGACCCCTTACAAAAATACTTCAAGGTCGAAAAAATGTCAAAAGCTAGTTTTTTTTGACAGATAATATTCACCAAGCTTCTTTAGCTGGATATGCATGGAAGATAAAAGAGAAAAACAATTTTTTTTTTAATTTTTGGAGCGGCGTTACTTTTCAGGGGAGTTTTTTCAAAAAATTTTATACCAAAGACCCCTATTAATTTTCATCAGAAAATCGCCCCTTACAATTTTCCAGTATTATTTAGATATACACTGTATATTTTATAAAAGAAAAAGTTATATGCCCTTTTCACAGACATAAAGACCTTCAGACGATTTGTCAGAGGAGCACATTTCTTGCGGAAATTATTTATACTTTTTTACCTTGACTTTGCAGTAGGGTAGTTTTACCGTTTGGGAGTCTCCCCCCTCCACTTTCTGGCTTGGGATGACCTTGAGGCCGAAGGCCGATGACGTTGGTGTATGGATGACCTTGAGGCTGAAAGCCGAAAGTGACGTAGGTTGGTGACTTTCATTTGNTTTCTATTTTTCGGAAATTTTCAAACTCGTTTTTCTCTAAACGACATTTTTTTGATTCACGAGAACTCTAGATCAATTATGGAAATTGAAAGTGTTTCTTTATGAAATTACAAAGAACATGAAGCAACAATTGGGCTGACATAATAACTTTAAGGGTGTTTTTTATTCAAAATAAGTGAGAAAATTGGTAAAAATCGATATATTTTTTCCGAATATGTGTCAAAACTTCAATTATCATCATTTTTACTAGCAATGAGGTTCATATTCTTACAAAAAAAAATGTTAATAATCCAGGAAAACAATCATTATAATTTCACATCAAAATTGTGACCTCTACATTTCTCGTGAACAATCAACTTGGACAACCTTCATTGAACAACAGCCCATACTTCGGCATTTTCAACACAAGTGACTTGAAAAAATTTGTAAATGTAGTTCAAAGTACTGATAAGATAATGTCAAAGTTTGATCAAATTCTAATAAATTTGTTCCACTCAAAAAATTTATGAGTAACCTCTGAAAATCAGCCTCCTAATGTGGTTCCCCCCCCCTAATAAAATGTCTTTGGAAGCTGTTGATGAATGTCAGTGTCAATAACCTCTGACATCAATCTAATTTACATATTTGAACTACATAATATTAATCAAAACATTAATTTGGTGCAAACGAAAATGAACGAATATGTCACGGCTACAATTTATTACATTTATTTTAGTTTTCAGTTTATCAGTTTACAAGGTGTTTGTAATACGATGGGAAATTTCCCAACTTTCTGTGAAAAGTATTAGATTTTCTGGAATCGAAATAGAATCTATATAGTGCAGTGTTTCATTAAGTTAAATTTTATAGTAAAATTTAAAGTGCTATTTAGTGAAGTGTCTTGCAGTGAAACTGAAACCTTCTCAACTTATTTATTTCAATGTTTAGCATAGCTGTTACGATTTCAATTGCAACCGCATAAAAACACTTAACTCATAAATTCTACGGAATCCAAAGGATCCGGAAAAATTTTGCCCTTTCTCGTCTAGATATACTATATTCTGAGCTGCTATATTCCTATTTAATTGGTAATATTCTCTAATTTTTTGTAAACAATATTCCTGAAGTATAACTACACATCGTGATTCCATAATTACCATACGATTGTCAACTTTTTTATGTTTAAAATCGCATTGTAATAAAACATGTCGTAAAATATCTAAAATCGACAATATTCTTTAATTTGGTATATTTCCGTTTCCTCTTTGTACCGTGACCAATAACGTCTCCTTTTTTAATTACGCGATAAATTGTCGTTTTTGATGTCTTAATTAATTCGCTAATCCACTTCCTAATTTCTTTATCACATTGTTCAGTATTTTCTATTTTCAAACATTCATAACCCTGTGTTTTTATTTCACTTGTCAATTGCTCGTCCAGTCTTGACAAATTTAATTCTTTATCGTTAAAAGTGTGTGCACAGCAAATTTGAGAGAAATTTGTTACTGGATCATGCACCATATCGACACTATTTTTATTTACTTCTATTTTGATTCCTGGTTGTTGGAGTCCTCTTCAATTTTAATAGTAGCATCACAAGTAGCTAACAATTTTAAAAGGTCAGCATCACACGTGGGAGCTTGCAAACAAATTCTGTTTCTCACTTCTGTATTTTTAATATCATACTCGACCAGACTGAGTATTATGTTCCAAGGAAAATCTGGATAAAACCGTTTGATGGATGAGAGTTTCACATTTCCATACTCTACTAACGACACGAACTTATCACTTGTAATTTCGAGGCAAGCACATATTCGAGTAGCTGATGTACCTCGCTCTGGAAATGCCACCTCTCTGCGAAAAGAAACCCAATCTCTAACAATCGGTTTCCAGTGTTGAAAGAAACAGGCAGCTCCTCCTCTGAGAACGTAACCAGCCTTCAAAACAATCATGGTGTCGGACATTCCAAACTCCTGTTGAATTTTGGTGATGTCATCCATCCATTCCACCATCGTAAACGGTGTGTCATCACTCATCACTCATCAGGATCATAACTTGTCAACCGAATTTGCGATGATGCTGCCGCCACAACTTCGGGTATGTGATTGGATGCAATGGTCTGAATTTGCGCCTGCATACTTGTTGAAGCTGACTGCAGCGCCGCCTGGGATTGAATCGCTTGGACGTTGGCGGCGTTGGCCATTGTTGACAAAATTTGCATGATTTGATTTTGAAAGTGAATATTACTTTCCTGCTTAATTTTGTACATTTCCATCATTTTAGTGTCTACTGACTCACTAACTCTCCCTACACCAATAGATGGACTAGTAGTACGTTCAGCACCTTCACTTTGTTTATGGTCGTCAGCCATTGTTCTCGACACATTTTAGTTTTCACACAAAAAATAAAGCACTTTTAGGTCCTTTTCTCCTGTCCTAAAGACACTAGGAGGAATCCCACTTCTGATGTTAGCTTTTTAGGTAAAAAGCGAGATATAATGAAACACAATTAACGCAATAATTTTAGTTTATTGCATACGAATACTGATTCACATCTTAATACAGCAAAATAGGCTTGCCAACTGACTCATATTGCAAGCTTAGCTAAAACGGTCCGCGATATGTTTACCATATCTGCACGATTAGGCGGTTTCAGATGACACAAGCGAACACATATAATATTTATTTTAATAACTATTACCCTTTACTGGTTACGATATAAACAAATAATAATATCAACTAATAAATAATAATACGTATTATACCAACAACATATCATGTCAAGCACTGCTCTGCACTGCACTGGCAAAGTCAAGTGAACCTGCTTGGCATCAAGCCACAACATAGCATATAAAAAATTATTTACGACCTAGTGGATCAATCCAGGTTTGCTTTGACGACCAGCGCACCGCCGTCGATTCACGGAAATGCTATTCGAGTATAAATTACGAGACAGATCATGGCCAAAGCATAGGAAGAAATTTCAGGAGAAGTGCAGACGGTCCTGTGCTTTAAGATTCACAGGTTCCAATTGAAATCGTAACAACTATAACAGTAATGTGTTTGTGTGTCTTCATTGTTAAATTACATATACAGGTGCGACTAGTTAAATAAGTAAAAAAAAACTTTTGTTTTTATGACAGAATTTGAGAAAACAAAATTATATATGCTAAGGTCAAAGGTAGACTCCTTATAAATATAACCACCATCAAAGGTTATATCCTGCACAGAATAAACTATATTAACACAGCCTGATAGCAAAAATTATTTTTCATCTAAACAAAAAAAATTAATACATAAAATAATGCTAATTTATTCTTATAATTTTAAAATTATAACAAATACGTCAAAAATTTTTAAACATCAGTATTCAAAACTAGTTGATTGGATGTCCGTAAATTATCTAATTAAGTTAGAATATGTACTCATTGTTAAGTTTTGGAAAGGATCCCATATTTGTCTCTTAGAAATAGAGTTTTAACACCCACAACTTCATAAAAACTTTTATATTGAAAACTGAGCCTAAAAATTCATATAAAACATGAATTTTTACTATTATTGAATGAAATATTAACTTATTTTTAATATTAACTAGGTACTTACAAGGCTAGGCTTGAATGGAGGATCCAATTTTCTACTTAATACATCATCCCAGTTGATATGCTTAAAGAACTGATGCTGTTTAACAGCTTTAGCATCTTCTGGTGCTGCACCTAATCTCGAAGACACTTGCCGCTTCAACAATTTCCTTACTAAGTCCCTTGCATCCGCAGTCAAATAAGGAGGAAGATTCAATTTTCCTTTTAGAATTTTTTCTATTGTCTTTTTTCTGTTCTCTGCAGTAAACGGGGGCTAAAACGTAATGGTTACTTTCCTCTCTATTTATAATCACCAGTTACTTACAGCTCCTGTTAACATATCATACATAAGAGCACCTAAAGACCACCAATCCACTTCTTTGCCATGTCCGTGTCTAGTTAAAATTTCTGGGGCCCTATCAACATTGAATTATATACAGGTTGTCTCAGGTATTACTGACATCCGTGCAAAAGGTACAGTCAAAATACATGAGATTTACACAAATATATCCGATATAAAAGAGTTCACCATTTCCGAGATACAGGGTGTCAAAGATTTCAAAAAATTTTTTATATTTTTTATTTACTTGGAAACCCTTCCTGATAAAACAACAATAATTCTGGGTTGTAATGGGATATCTTTGGCCTATTCAGTATAATTAAATAGTACGCCACTGACAATTACACAACAGTGTTAAAATAATTTTTGAAAGGTATAATAGTTGTTTGTCATCAGTCAGAAAATATACTGAAGCATAATAGGCCTTATTGTGCACAAACTACAAAAACCAGATATTTTAAATGAACAATTACTTAATTACGACACATTTTAAAGAAAATATCAAAGATTATTGTTCAAAATAATCAAAACTTAAAGTACTTTACGTTTTTTTATAATCAAGTCAGTGGCGTACTATTTTTATTGTAAATAAGTGTGTCACAGGGTTTCTACGCCACTAGTGATAATGAGAATATTTAAACATCCTGAATAGTTAGACCAAAAATATCCTATTACAACCTAGAATTATTGTTGTTTTATTACAAAAGGTTTCCAAGTGAATAAAAAATAAAATAAAAATTTCGAAATCTTTCACACCCTGTGTCTCGAAAACTTTTAGATATAGATATATTTGAGTAAATCTCATTTATTTTGACTGTAGAATCACTCCCTGCAAAGATGCGAGTAATACCTGTAACACCCTGTATAACACAAAAAAAATGCTAAGGTAAACTTGTTTTCAAAGGGTTAAGCTCTAAAACCCAGTTATCAAAGTGGTTAACAGTTGTTTATTTATCAACTGAATTTAAAGCGGAAAAATATAAATGCCGGTATTTTTATTTTAAAACTTACATATATTCGATAGTCCCGCAAAATGTGTGAGTCAGAATACCTTCTCTAATATGTTCCTTACACAAACCAAAATCTGTAAGTTTAACGTGGCCTTGTGCGTCTAATAATATATTTTCTGGTTTCAAATCCCTGTATATAATTCCTTGACCATGCAAATGTTCCAATGCCAAAATTATTTCAGATAAATAAAAACTGAAACGGGTAAAATTACATTCACTGGAAATGTAACATAAAGAAATATGTTTACCATGCTGTATCTTCTAAAAATATCCCTTCTCTTTCTAAATGCATAAACAGTTCGCCTCCACTTAAATATTCTAATATTAAGTACAATTTTCCCCCTGTTTGGAAGGCGTATATTAAATCTACGATAAAGGGGTGCTGCAAAAACAAATTGTGTTGATAGAGATATTGTATGCCTACGTAAAAAAATCAAAATGCATTTTGTATATTATATTACAATAAACACAAATATTGACATCATTTAAAATATTGAAATAAGTAAAATAATCTGCAAAGTGCTTGTAATGGATAAAACCAATGTCATAAAGATGATGGAATGAAATGAAAATAGATTGATGAAGAAGTAAACAAGTCAAAGAAACCTTGAATATATAGAATAAGAGAGTTTCTTATAAGCTGTTTTACATTAACAATTTATTGATGAATAAATTGACGAAGTTCTTCATGAATTAATTCACAAATTTATTGGTAAGCAGTGTGGTTTTACACTGCTACAGACTTTGTCAAGTTATTTGACGTATGAATCAGTTCTACCAATGAATCAAAGAAGCAAATAAATTTCAAAAATGTCACCTTGCCACTCATAATTGTAGATACAACAGCGGTACCGTTCTGACACATATTATATAAATATTAGTTTTTGTAAGTAACAAATCAGTAAAAACAATGCAAAACTAGCATGACACCACACAATTATTTGCATGTTCCAATAACATAACCTCATTACTGATCTGAGGCTGGAAATCTGTTGGGTTGGTACTTCCAAACTTCACAAAGAAATTGACGAAAATTAGAACATGCTCTAATTCGTCAAGAATTTGATGAATAAATTCATGAAGTTATTTGACAGCAGATTTGGTGCATTACACTTGTCCAATTTCTTGATAAAGCGACTTCATGAATAATTAATTGATTAATAAATTGTAACAGCTATTAAAAGTCTTCATTGCCCACGTTTAAATGAGCTATAACTTGTGAAATCTAGTAGGCTTTTTCATTACATTTATTATATTTGTTCTCCATTGTCACAAACTAACAGCCTTTTCAACTTATTTGCACTTTTGAAATCAGTGTGCTCTGAGTACCTATATCTTTGTTGTGTACTATCAGTTCGAATGATAGAAGATGGAAACATTCTCATTGAGCAGAGTGCAAAAGTTAAAAATGCTGTGACAAATCTATCGCTAACATATGTCATTAAATCTGAAGGCATCAAATGACAATGCCAAGAATTAGGAATAACTATATTCTTTCTTCTGTATACTCAAAGTCAGGAAATATTTTTTAATTTATGATTGAGGCACAAACACCTTTTACTACTATTTGTATCAGTATACACTAAAAAAAAAATTACTATAATTTGTACTTAACACTACACAGTCAATTTTTGCACAGATGGAGAAATAAGTTAATTAATTACTTACAGTTTTGGAAAATGAAAATGTCCTTCAACAAATGAAGAAATTTCTTCAACTAGAAGAAAACTTATACCTTTTATGATGAATATAAATGAATAAGTCCGACTTCAGCTCCTAATTCTATAGGAAACTTTTTATTTGAAAAATAAATTCATTTTTTTTCTATATATTAGGTAGATATTTATTTCCACAAAACTCTAACGACACTAATATGTAAATCTTTATTGAAATTTGCGTTTTCCTGTGTTTTTCTCCAAAATTTGAAAAATACGTAGCTTGCAGCACCTACATTAGTAAATGTCAACTTGAATCAAACTGTAGTGTTGTTTTCTGAACAATTTGTTTTCTGATCAATGTCATTATCTCTATTATTAATTTAGATATACAGTAGTTAAATTAAGCATACATCGCCAGTGAAATATGAAATATATCAAGACATTACTGAGAAATAAACCGATTAAAAAAAAAAATGGATCAACCAAAGCATATTAGCTGTTCAAAAGAAAGTAAATTTCGAAATTTAATACAGAGAAACTATACAAACTTTAAGGGAACATGTTCAAGTAAAAATAAGCAAATATTTTTGAATATTTCAAGAATAAAGCCTTTGCAAAACTTATCACAGTACATGCAAGATTTGTATTTAAAAAAAATAACTACTTACATTTCTATTACCAGTATAGATATTAGGAAGTCAATTGCTTGAAGCATAACTTTTCAATAATGATTTTTTTATCTCTGCACGCTGATGGAATACAATGATGAAAAATAAACATATATATTTTTTTGCATTTTAGAGTGAACTGAATATTAACAACTGGATTTTGTTTTTGTTTTATAAAGATGATTATTTTTTTATTAACCTGTTAATATTAGTAAAGAAGTATCTAGATATGGATAGGAGTAATATACAAAAACATGTAGACTAATAATGTTAATACTATTTTAACAATAACAAATTATTAAAAAAAAAAATAAATAAATGTGGAAGAAAATTAATCGACGCCAGAGGTGATTTTTTAAATTTCCACCGTTAGTTCGAAACATGTTTTTTTCTTAACACTTTTGCTTCTTTTTTCTGAACAATATTTCCATGAAGTTTCAGTATTTCCCCATGGAACATACTGTATATTCACAATAAATAAAACGAACTCTGCGTTTTGAGGAAGTTTTACCATCAAGTAGTTAAAATTTATGTATTGTTTGGTTAGCTAGTGTTTAAGGGATAAGACCACTGTATAATTTTCAGAAAATCTATTTTTATTAACCTAAAAGATGCTTTGCACCTTCAGAGTAAGGGAAAAGAAGATTTATGCCCAAATTTTTTTTTTTTGACATTCCGAGCTCTTTGCCAAGCGTGTCATACTGCTCCGAATCAACTACATACCTGCGGCATATAGATACTTGCAGGAAGGGTACAGCCTAATGACTTACCTTTTGATTTCTAATTTCTCTAATACTACTAACAGAAGTCAATAGAAAGAGTGTGTATGCATTTTCAAATGAAAGTACGTTAGTATAAAGTATATCTCAAAATTTTAAAGGCGTTTTTCTAGAAAAACGATTTTTTAAAGTAGCATGCAGTGTAATTTCAACAATTTTCATTCTATTCATTGCAAATTTTGGTCATATCTTTAAAATAACATTCCAAACAGAAGTACGTACAGGATTTACGATAAGTTGATTTCAACATTTTTTATTGAAAAATTATTGCTCCTTTTTTGTGAAAATTTGAACTTTTTACTTCAAATGCTCGCCAATCACACAAAAATTATTGTTTTCAAAATCCCCCTCGTATTTCTCTATCATTCAAAATTTTTTGTTTTTCTCCATATTCAAATTTGCGTCAGTTACATTCATACATCTCAAAAATGGCTTCAGCAGCATCATTTTGTAGTATTTATAAATATATATATGGTTAGTAACATCCTTGAATATTATTATCCTCTTACTTTTCCTTCCGTCAAATAAAAATCACAAACGTTGCTTTATTTTAGCATTTTACAGTATTAAAGAGTAAGAGTATATAAATTAATTTAACACTTAAAATTATCATTACTTACATATACATCTTTGTATACATATATATTACACAACTTGACTCAATCAATCAAGATATACATTCGATCACATTTTGCCATTTTTCTCAGATGTAATGTGTTTTACAAAAAAAATTAAAGACAAAAAGTTTCTAAATTCAATGGTTTTCCAGCAGACTAATAATTTTTAAGAAATTCAAATATGCAACCAAATTGTTTTGCCTTCAAAGAAAAGGAAGTCCCCAAAAAAGTGTCTTAAGGGGATTCCCCACCAAAAAGCTTTGAACTCTCAGATTTCACATCTCATAAACCCCTGTGTATCAAATTTAGTGATTCTCGTACCACAGGGTTCTGAGATATAAAAAACTATTCTTAGAAGCAGATTTTAGGGGACTGAAACTCCGAAGGGTGGAGCTACTTGGCAAAAATAAAAAATATGGAGCCCCTAAATTTGTCTTAAGAATCTGTGACCAAATTTTGTTGCATTAATTTCTGGATTTGAAAAACTATCTAATTTTTAATATGGTTTAAACCTTTAACAACTCATAATAATTTAGTAGAAATAGAAGCTTCCAATAAAAAAAAATGGCATTATATTATTAGTTAGCTAACAATTTGACATTTAATTATACTTAAATTTGATTTCAGAAGTATATTAAATTTCTCGAGGGGTAATTAGAATTATGGCCTACATGGGATAGGAATTCATGAAGAAATGAGGAATATTCTTGGGGAATTCAGAGGAATTCAAGAGAAAGTCAAAGGAATTCAAGGCGAAGTTAGTCAGGGAAATTCCCATGAGTGGTGAAATTATGGTGTACAAAATTATAAACCCAGTTTACCCCCCAAAATTTGTTATCAAATTCAAAATTCATTGTAGAAGTTCATATGTAACAATTTCTGATATTTTTAAATTCAATTCAATACAATTTAAAATTTTTTGAATTTTCAAAAAATAAGCATGAAACAAAATACCTGTGTGATCCAAGGTACAACAAAAAATAATCCAGGAAGGAATGAATTTGAATACATATTATGCCCATGTAATTAGTTAGAAATGAATATGATATTTCCACATAACGAGATTAAGTAGAAGTAATAATTACCTTGACTTCTTCTAAAATATTGCGCTCTGCTTTAGTGTGTGCAGTATCTTTTTGGTTCCTAACGATTGAGGCCTTACGGAGAACTTTCATGGCAAAGACAGTATTAGCATCTTTACCAGTAATCTTTTTTACCTGAAACACTTTGCCATAACCTCCTTTACCAAGAACTTTTCGCAATTCAAAGTCTTGTGGGCCCGTCTTTTCTTGACCTGGATTAACATTTTGCTCTGTTAATGGCACAGTTTCAATGTCGGCTGACCTACAATTATAAATAAAACAATTGACAATAAAATGTTTATTACAATAACAAAATAAAAGTAAAATGAGGAAAGGGCTTGCAACATGATAAGACCAAAATGTAAAATATGTCAGGTCTATGTATATGAATATTTTTAGAGGATTACTATAGGTACTCCTTATATCTTATATTTTACACCTATCCTATTTGAAAAGAAATGTTATCTTGATTCTACACCTATATTTAGGTAAGTACTAGGTATATGTAAAGGTCAAAAAAGTAAAATTCAACTGGCTAAAATAACTTTTTCATTGATTTATGTTTTTTTTTATTATAAAATTTGGATTAAAATTACTACATAATTTAATTATAATTAGCTATTAAAATCAGTTAAAATTTGTCACAGTGCATTAGAGCTTATTACAACAAGCAACTGAAAGAGCCAGAGTAATATTTGAGTAATACTTTGGTATTTCATTTAGGATTCATCTTGTTTCTGTTAAAATATCCACTACCTAATCTAAATGTTTAAACAGTCAGTAATGATTTCTTATTCTATAAACAATAAATAGTTTAAATAGGCAGAAAAGTTTTTATAATTTTTAATTGCAAAATTTATAAACCATTTCACCTGCCATTTGATATTGCTTGTACATCATCATAGCTTATTTCAAGTTTATTTTAAATGTTTCATATTTATTGCTAACTCCTTTAATACATATAATCCTTTGGTAAATACTTTTATTCTATATTTCAGCCATTATCGATAACAAAACATGTGGATGAAAAGGTATATGTATTGAAGCTCCAATGAATAATTAAATTTTTTAGATATACTGCTTGGAGTTTATGTTAGATATTACTTTAAAATAGCATTAATTCACCTTATAAATATTTGAAATAAAAATAGTATTCACTGAAAAATAAACTTCTGCCCTAAGCTTATTAATCGAATGCAGCTTGGTATCAAGTTCAGCTGTTTTTGCCTCAATGTTAATATTATGCAATTATAGAAAGCCAACCAATGATTTAAAAATTGATGTAAGTAAGCACAACCTTGAGAAGTTTTTCAGATTCCAATAATTAATGGTACCTTGTTATATAAATAACTACACATAGTATCAGGTATGGTGTTGAAGGTATAATGTAAAAACTGGGTTATAATAAATAGTTTCTAATTTACATTTAACATACTTACTCCACAATTTCATTTATATTAGGATTTTGGTCATATTGATCCTGAAAAAAATGAAAAGTATGTTAATGCCATGTATTCAGTGCATGTTAACATTATATATCTAAGGCAGTAGTACAACAAAGAGCATTCAATAAAAATTGATTTAACAACAGGGAAATGTTCCAACTGAGGTTGTTTATATTTCAAGTTCATTAGAGAAAATGTTTTGCAAGAGATGTGACATTGAAATTAAGAGAGATAACGAATTTGTTGAAACTAATACAATGACAAGTAAATCCGTACAATTCAGTACTTACTTAAACCAAAAAGTAAAAACTATTATATTTACCTCTTCAACTTCCAGGGCATCATCTGAATCATCAACTTCTACAGTTTCAACATCGTGCAACTCTATATCAAAAACGCCATTTGCCATGTTTGTAATCCTTAAATTTTCACATCTATAACAGTAAATTTATCACGATAATCACTTTTTGATTAAAAAAATTGCACAAACTGTATATAATCAAATTCTTAGAAATATTGCTAGTAGCACGACGACACCAGAAAATAAGGTTATGTCAAATCCAACACTGCCAACAACAAAGATTGAAAGAACCCTAACTTAAAAACTTGCTAAAACTGAAACTGAATGTCCCTAAGTTTATAATAACGGCAGAGAATCGAGGCCTTTTATTATAAAAGTGGATTTATAAATCATTCAAAAGTAATAAGATTTACGAAGGCAAGAAAGTAATATTAAAATTGTTTACTCTATAAACTTTATCCTGTCAGTTTGATCGATGAGACAACAAAACAAATTGTAGGTCTGTTACCCATGGGCGAAGTTAAGGGGGGGAGGGGCTTGGGGGAGCTAAGCCCCCGCAGAATCCGAATTAGCCCCCCCAAAAACATTATTACACATACACATCAGAACAGAAAATAAAAAACATACTTTTTTGACAAAAAAAATTGTATAATTTAATAACTTCATAACATAACTTGAAACTTATTTCAGTTGAAGCCAAGTCGGCGTCACTGCCCAACAAAAGTCGGAATTGATAAAGAGGTTTTAAAGGCGAAAACGGGACGAAAATATTAGTATATCCGATATTACATATGTTGTCAGAAAAGACACATTTCCAAATTTTAAGGTCAACCGTGGGTCAAGACCGATTCAGTTCTTTAGCACTTGTTAACATTGAAAGTGACATTTCAAAATCCCTGATTCTAGACATATTCTGGAAGAAATTATTTTAATAACTTAAAATGAAATTATTTGACTTTAAAAAAAAAATTTTTTTCATTTACTTTTAATATTTACGGATTGGTAAAAAAATATGCTTACCTTACTTGCATACATACACAAAAATAAAATGAAAAAAATATATACATTTTTTCATATTAGGGCTTTAGCCCCCCCAGATCCGATGACTTAACTTCGCCCATGCTGCTGCCACGGAATTCTTAAATTTAATAAATCAGTACGATAATAAAAATGTTACCTAACAGACATATGGAAATTATCATATTTTGAGTTATTTTGAGTAATTTTAAAATTGATATTGATATGAAAATATAGGTAGTACCTATTATATTTTTCTAAAAATCATATAGGTTTTAGATAAAACTTTCTGTATAGGTACCTATTTCCATACGTTAACTGATCGTTATTCTGGTATTAGATTTCTTGCAAAAGTTTTTTTTTATTAAAGATTCAGATTTGGGGAACGAATTTTTACAGTAAAAATGGCATAACACTTTATATAGGTATATTATTTTGCTTTTTTAAATCTTCTCAAGTTAAATTGTTATGTATGTCCTTATAAAATAAAGCAAAGCACAGTCAATAGGACGATTTAATTTCATTCCGATAAACGCTAAAATAATAAAATACAATTCTAATTTTATGCAGATGAACTTACAACTTCGTAAATAATTCTTATTTCTTGTACAAGTAAGGATAATATTTCTGCTTGTTTTTTTTTTAATTTTTAATGGTTTTCGAATAATTATTATTACAATTTTCTAAACTTCCCCGAAACATATTTTGTGTTAATTATTATTAAAGAATAAAGGCTTTATAAAAAATTAAATCATATAATTAATTACACGAGAACTGTTAAAAATAAAAAAGTACAAGAGGGAAAAAACTTTATGATAAATAAAAACTGAAGTAGGAAGATCTATCGCAAAAATATTACCATATTTACCTACTTATGATTAGAGGTACTTTTCTCATACCAACAACTTTGGATAGAGATAAGTTTAGTTAAATGCTCTTATTGATTTGTAATACCTACCTACCTATTTTTTCTATAAAACCGTCTACAATAAAACTTTTGTTTCCACGATATTTTTTTGTCTGGTCTAACATTTAATAATTATGAGACGTCCAAGATCTACATAAATACTTACAGCTTCATGTTTCAATAAAATTTCAACCTAATTTTTTGAAAATTGTAGGATGCATAAATGTTTAATAAGTTATTGATTAATATCAAGAGGTTGGGGAAAAAAACTTCTGTACTCAGTGTAACCCGGTAAGAAACCCATACACCCCATATATATATTTTTTTTGAACGACGATTTGAATGTTGGTATATGTACATATAGTAACCTTCTAAATGTACCTACTGAATTAATTACGATAATCTAGTTGGTAATTAATGGCCTGCTGTGATTTTCTTTAAATTAAAAAAAAATCACAGGATTTTGTTATTAAAAATTTAGTTATTTTTTTTAAATATTAAGACATTTAAGTAATAAGCGATTCAATTGATTACGTTAAGAGATATGAAAAAGGTGGTCTATGGAAAATACTTATTTAGGTACAGTGGCGCATCCAGAGGACAGCCCACAAACTTTCGAATCGAACCGTAGGCATAGCAGAAAATAAATTTTGAAGTATAAGTTAACAAAATGATACCAGAAATCTGCGTCTTTTTAGTAAGAGTAAAACTACTCATATGGTCTTATGATAAATTATTATATGTATAATGTTAGACACATACTTATTTGAACTTTACCTATTCAAATTGTATGGTCTGGATTGTTATTTTTATTATTATTCTAATATATTTCTTATGTTTTATTATTTCATTTGTCTCTTTCTTTTGGGAAGTGAATTTATTAAACTTATAGGTGCATACTAAAGTATACAGGGTGTCCGCAAATTTCACCGACTGCATATTCACGACAATAAATAAATTCGATCTACGAAGTAGAGATTCTAGTTTTTGAGTTACAGGCCTTCAAAGTTGTCAAAAATAAAACTAATTTAATTAATAACTTCATAACCCTTTTATACCGATCGCGTTAAAAATGGGACACATTTATTTGGACTATTATGGCGATATACAGAATTAGTTAGTGACGATTATTCATTGGAACATTGGTCATATACTTGGACCAACCATTAAAAGTCCGTTGTTGGATGTGTTTTTGGTGCTCTCTAGTTGTGTGCGTGTTTCTACGGTGTTTGGTGCTATTTAAGATTGATTTTTTTTCTACTGCACAGTGGGACACGGTATTGAGACTAGATATTAATTGAAATAATCCCAGAGTGCTTCTGTTGACTCTTAAAATTGCATTTCTCTAGTCTGGTTTATCTACTGTGATATGTTTTATCTTCGCGCGGTGGACGTTTTTCATCAATTTTTGTAAAGACTTTTTATTGGCTGAGGTATAAAACATCCAAAGATTTTTTTTTATTTACTGCATAAATAAGGACTTTTTTGCCTGAATACTATATCCGCATGTAGAAAATTGATTTATCCCTATCAGGGGCGACTCGTTCAACATGACGAGCTGCTCTAGATGTAAAATTAATAAAAATGAAGGATTCGTTGGATGCGAAGCTGCTTGCGATAAGTGGTATCACTACTCCTATATTGGATTGAGTAATGCCGAATTTAATATGCTGACCAAAAATAAGAATTTATTTTATATGTGTAATGACTGTAAACGTAAATGTGATATAGTAGTAAAGTCTAACGTCCAAGATTACAATAGTACTGTCAAGAATTTTAATGAGCGTATTACTGATATCTCTAAAACTGTTCGCAAATCATTGGATTCTCAGATAGCAGGATTTAGCAAATTACTTGATAATCTGAAAGACAATCTTCTCTCTAGTATAAAAGCGGATATTGAACTTATTATAACTGAACATCTAAAAAAGTCTACATCTCAGAGGCCGGAGTGCTGCTCGAATAAATCATATGCTGCTACTGTGGTAAACAACTCTAATGCATCACTACTAGTCACCCCTAGGGCTACGCAGAGTTCTTCAACTACCAAATCAGATATGCTTCAAAACATAGATCCTATATAAGTGCGGAAATAAACCTAACTAAAGTTAAACATACCCGTGATGGTGAATTACTTATAAGTTGTTCTAATGACAAGGAATGTACAAAGTTTAGGGAAGTGGCTGCCAAAAAACTGTCAAATAAATATGTCATTAAGGAAGTTAATACACTTTGTCCTAGATTAAGAATTGTCGGTATATCTGCTAAACTGTCTGATGATGTCCTCTTAAACTATATACTATCTCAAAATAGGGATGTATTTAATGATAATAGTTTATGTAAGATTATATCCAATATACCTTTAAAGAGGAATAGAGGCACGTATAGGAATGTTTTGGAGAAGGGTAAACTGTTTGTGGGCTACGATTATTGCAATGTGTTTGATGCTATTGAGATTCGCCGTTGTTATAAATGCTGCGGATTTCATCATCTATCTAATAAGTGTGTGTCCAGGGTTGTTATACTCGTATGTCCCCATTGTGCTGGTCACCATGCCGTAGCTGACTGTAAATCGGACGTTTTACGTTGCATTAATTGCATTAATTTAAAAAATAGTAATAATGATTTGGATATTGACGTAGATCATGCCTCTTGGGACATTAATTGTCATGTATACAGGGTGTTTCAGTTCGAATGAATCAAACTTTAACAACAAATAGAGCTCAATAAATAATTGAGAATTGCCTTATAAAGCAAGGGTCTAAGTCTCACCGTTTTCACTAAACAGGGCCGTATTGGTTGGTTTTTAAAATCATATTATTTATGAAATCTTTGCTATGCTTATAACAAATTGATTCAAATTGGGTGTGGTGTGAACATTTGCACATGTGCATAATTTACAAATTTTTATAGGTCAGTGGCGTAGGAATGGGTAGTAAAGCGGGATTTTTTACCCCAACTTCTACGCCAATGCCCTAATAAGCATTTGGGGTTCAATTTTAGATTCCTTTGACAATTCGACATAAAAAAGGCATACTTGTTGAAAATCGTTTTACCGAAAATAAATCTACGCCACTGACTGTAAATTGTAAATTTTTCAGTAAATAATGCACATATGTAAATGTTAACACCACACCAAATTTGAAACAATTTGTTATAAGCATAGCAAAGATTTCATAAATCATATAATTTTAAAAGCCAACCAATACCGGCCTGTACAGTGAAAACGGTGAGACTTAGACCCCTGCTTTATAAGGCAATTCTGAATTATTTATTGAGTTCTATTTGTGGTTAAAGTTTGATTCACTTGAATTGAAACACCC